CTAAAGAGGACAAGGAGATGCCTGTGTATTATAAAAATAAGCCTTGAGAGATAAGTAATCAAGAACGAGGCTAGAACTTAGTAAAGTAAGTAATAGTACAGCACAGCACGTGCATAAACTTTGAAACAAGCATAGGAGTTTAGTAACCGAAGGTCACAGTAGAGGCAGTTAACAACCTCTTTAGTCATCACTGTTCTGCATACAAAACGCCAATGTACAAGGCCAAGATAGAGGATGTTGGCCTCGATTCTTTAGCACTGTAGAAGCTATAGAAAAGTTTATATTTTATGAATCATCACGGTGCTTTGATGCAGTATCAGTTACAGTACATGGGTTTAGCAGTACAAGCAAGTAGGCAGCCGGCTAACAGCAGTTGACCATGACCAATAGCTTGAGGGTTTTTGGGTGTGGTACTGGACCAGTCCAAAACTTGCCTCCAAGCATCCAATAGGAGCACCGCACTACTTGTGGGTGATGCTGTGTCCTATTTGGATGCTCGCCAGGATACAGAGAAATTCTGCTATATAAACCCATGTCTGAAGCTGAAAAATCAGATCTCCGGCGAGTTCTGAAATTGCCAGTCTCCAGCCAGCTCTACAAAGCCAGAACGATGCAGTGGAACAACTTAGACTCTGTTAAGAAAGTTCCAACTCTACAGTAAGTATCTCTCTCTCTCTAGATCAGCTTTATTATTATATGTTATTCTATGTAAAAGAAATGTTGTTAATGTTTTAATGATTAACAAGTTAAAGAGTGAATATATGAATATTAAGTCAAGTGTAATAAAGAGTAATAAAAGATATTATAAGTAGTATTGCTGGTCTGAGACTCATATTCTTTACTCTAACTGTAAACTCCTGGAGTTAGCGACTTGTGGCTCCACTCGTCACGACAAATCCTCCAACAAATAAATAAGGTGTACAGGTTGGTTTTAATTGAAACTCCAACAATTAAGCTCACCTGAGCGCTAACCTGTTACACTAAATAAGTGACAGACTCAACATGTAACTCGGCTGGCTTACATTCAGTCCAATAATCACACATTTTATGCTAGTGTTAGTGTATTGATGGAAATATTGGTGTATTCTACATTAAATGATCAGTTTTCACATTTACATAGCTTTAAAGTAAGTTGCTACTGCTTCCCAATTCAAGTTTAATGTTAGTTCAATAAAAAAATATTGAGACTGTAATGCATTTACAATAAAATTCCCTTCAAATTTTGATGGGCTACTTTTGAGGTTTAATCTTTGATCTTATTATTTCATTATGATTTGTCATTTTTACTGTTATCAAAGAATATAATACTTTGTAACAATTGAATGTACTTTTCAATAATTTGTAATACCTTACTTTAGTTTCTTTTAATTCTGTGTTTCTGAGTTAATTTCCTAAGAATAATTCTTATAACTGGTAAGAACCAAATACATGTGTTTAAGAAATAACCTCAATATGCAGAAAGTTGTCAATTTTTTCTTTTTTCTGGTTATCAAATTTTTATTGTGAGAATAAATTTTGTTTGTGCTCTAAATTTGCTATATAAAAAGTTTATTTAGAATAAAAAACTTATGATCTACAAAAATACATGAAATGAAGCAATATATACACTCACCTGGACATTGGAGAACATTACACAATTGTGTTTCATTAACTGCACCAATACACACTTTTTCTACTGAGTGACAGGAACGACTTCTTTGCTGTATTCCTGCACCACAAGTTTTTGAGCATTCTGACCAGCCATACCATAAAGTCCACTCTTCAGCCCAAACTGTAGTACACAGATAACATTACAGGGGTTTGGGAAGCTTTGGTGATATTTATCAAAACTAAATTTCATTCAAAAAATAGCATGTTTTCAAAAATTGAAAAAGATGGATATCAATTACATAATTTATATGTTTTAGAAATTCTGTAAGGTTTTTTGGCATGATGGTACAAAACTCTCAACAGCCAATCAGCTCACTTTACTCCTCCTACACTGGTGTTTTCTCATCTGACTCCTCACAAACAGTCTGATATGTACTGTCAGCCACAACAAACATTCTTTGGCAGCACTTACTGTGGCACTTCCTTGACTTAGAGCATCATTGAAGAATCTGCAATTTCCAAGACGACAATATAAATTTGTTTGCTGTATCATCAATGTCTAGCATCTTTCTTTGGGAAAAGAATGATGATTCAAATGTTGCAGAGTCTATTCCAAAGAAATTCTGCTACCACTCACATAGACAGTTCAAGTTCCTATCACATGACATAATTAAGACCAGGGCCAGCTTTTGGGGAAGGGAGGTGAGGCAGCTGCCTTGGGCCTAGCACCTTGCTTTTATAATTTTATTTTTTGTTTAGAGGGCATTAGTATCTCATATTTACACTGAGATAAGCCTAAGATGAAGTCAGTTCTCCATGTTGAATTCATGAGTGTATGCAGTATTCTTGAAAAGTTATCATATGCTACGAGCAGTGGATTGGCACAAGAAGGCAATGGTAATTCGAAAAACATCAGTGCAAAATTATCACGAACAAGGGAAAGACCACACTGATGCTATGATGAATTGATTGAACTGTACAAAAGATTAAAAAAGGGAAAGACAATTAATGAAATTGATGGTCAACTTATTAAAAAAGACAAACATCATTGGCAAATGGTGATCAAATGTATTTTTGCCATCATTCTAATCTGGCACAACATAACATGGCATTTTGCAGAGACAGTTCACACCTGATAATGGTAATTTTCTAGGTTTAGTGCAGCTCTTTGAGAAATTTTACCCCATTATGGAAGAACATATTCGACATGCACAAGAGGGTAAGCTGGCAGACCATTACATTGGTCTACTCATCCAGAATGAACTGATAGTACTGCTGAGTGATCATGTTCACAGAAAAATCATTATTAACCATGTAAAATCAGCAAAATATTATTAAATTTTACTTGATTGCACACCAGATGCTTCCCATCAAGAACAGATGTGTTTTATACTCTGTGGTTGTAATGCAAATGGCTGTGTCTTTGAACATTTTACTACCTTCATTCCTTTTGAAAAAAAACACTGTAGCCTTAACTAATTATCTGCTTGACTTTCTAAAAAAATGCAGTTATTGGTAGATGATATGCGAGGTCAAGGGTACAAAAATGGCTCCAACATGAGAAGGAAATATTTGGGTGTCCAAAAACGTATTCTGCTTTCTGTTTCATATGGATGCCATTCATGGAAATTAATATTAGGCAATATGGCAAGGTGCTCTGTAAGAGCAATGTCTTTCTTTGGCATTCTACAGAGACTGTATGTTATATTTTCTGGGTCTGTGAGATGATGGTCAATTTTAAGACGACATGTGAAAGGTCTCACTGTGAAGCCTCTCAGTGAAACAAGGTGGGAAGCATACATTAATGCAGTGCAAGCTGCTTTCTATCAGCTTACAGAAATCTATGATGTTCTTCAGGAGTTAGAAAAATTCATAACAAATGATGTTGCAGCTTGTAGTGAATATGAGTCTTTGTTGCAAGAGATGCAAAAACACAATTTTGTTGTAACTGTTGTATTCTGGTATGAAATTTTACATAGGATTAAGTTTGTGAGCAAAGAAGTGCAATGAGAAACTGTTGATGCTACCATGAGTCTTCTCTGCAGGTCAAATAACAGTAGTCTTGGTTTCCCCTAGACACCTATCAACCTTGCAATGTTGAGGACAAAAGTGAGAATATGGATATAGCTCTCAAAAGTGCTGGTGAAAGCTCTAGGCATAGAAAAATCATTTTCCTAGTACTTGCTGTATTTTTAGATTGAGTTCTTGCTTCAATCTCACCTTCCTCTTCTTTTCCATAAGTTTCAGAAAGTGTTCTTCAATGCTGTTCATGATTTTTGATACTTAAAGTATCAGATAGTCAAACAGAAAAATAGCCCTGCAATAAACATATCCTTTGGTCAATGCACCAAAATTTAACTTGTTAACTAGTGTGTGTAATATTCTGGTACTTCTGATATCCACCAGGTAGTTACAAGTATCTGCAATATGCATAATATTAAATTAACTAGGAAAGCAAAGAATAACAAGTAAACACATGTGAACAATAGTTAATCTTTTGAATCATTCTGGATGGTTTCTGCTATCTGTTGTTACTTTTCACTAACTACTGAAGTAAACGTTTTCCTAATATGTCTGCAAGATGAGATTCAAGGATCAAACAAAAAATAAGTTATTAGATACCCCACTTTTATAGCTGATTGTGGTCACCTTAGGTTACCTTCCAAATACACATATTCAAGGGAAATAAACCCTGTTGGATATACAAGACTATTCAGTTTAAGAGTTATCATTTATATTATTTAATGATTCAATAGTTAATGATTATTTAGTTTTCATAGCAAGAGTGCCAAAAGTTAATTATTTTAAAAGCAATAGTTATGACAAGTTTCATTAAAGAACTCTGTACAAGACATATGTTGTTTATGAAGTTTAACTGTTGTACTAGGGTTTTGTAATATTGTTAATATCATCTTACTCAAAGCTTCTAATTCTTTCTTGTTATGTTTAATATTGTTTTTACCAGAGGGCTAGGAATTTCAAGATATTTCTGTCATGTGTTATAAATATGTGTAGATACAGAGAGGAACTAAGTAAGTTAGTGAAAATAAAAGTGAAAAAAGTGAAGTTAGACTTGTTATTGTTAGTTTAGCCCTAATGGGCAATATCTAAAGTGAGTTTCACAGTTGTATTGTAACAACAGAGATAAAAAAGAATAATTTGTCTTGTCGAAGGGTGTTCTTAAGTAATTGAACCCACCTGTGTGGACTTGACGAAAAGGAGACAATTATTTAAAACTCTTGATATAACTGTGGTAACCAACAGTTATAGTGGTGATTTTGAGTTTCACAGCTTGCATGTAACAACAGAGATAGAGGAGAATAATTTGTCTTGTCAATTGGGTCCTAAAGTAACTGAACCAGCCTGCGTGGACTTTTGACATAAAAGAGAATTATTTAAAGCTCTGGATACAACTGTAGTAACCAATAGTGTAATGAATTATTTTGTACATATATTTGACTTATTTTGAATACATATTATTTTAAAACAAATGGATTAAGTGCTCTCTATTTGTTGGTGAAATTTATCACCAACAAGTTACAGACACCTACTGTAAAGAATTCACACTCCTATAAAACTGACAAACCCCAAACCACAGAGATCTCTGTATCACCTCTTTGAATGAGTAAACATTTTTCCCAAGAGATCTGATACAGAATCAGGTCCACATATAAAAATGAACATTTTAGAATATAACCTTTACCTAAGCAAAAGGATTAGTGCACATTTATGCCTTTTCTACATCAAGTTAACACAAATGACTTTAACTACATTCAAAACTCATGCATGGAAATTAAGGAAAATTAAGTGAATCTACCGTACTAAAGATAAATTATAAACTAGCTACATGATGTTGAAAATACTGAAAACTTGAACTGGTAATATCATCCTGAAACAGCAAGACTAGGAAAACTAAAAACAGCTATTTAGACAGTTGTGGCAAACTTGTAGCATTCACATGATTTACATTACAATTAATTTAGACAATGAACTCGAACCTTGAAAGAAACTACTTACATCAAAATTAACGAATTTTGGGGGAATATGTCTAATTTTCTACAGATAACTTAGAATTTTAGGGTGTCAACAATTCGAAATTTTTTAGCTGCTTGAAAGCCTAAGTTTATAAGATGCATTCTAAACTCACTGAATATTATATATTATACAAAATGAAAAAAATTCACACTGAAATGATATAATCATGACCAGAAGACTTTCAAAACATTGTCCTCTACATTTCTGTGATTTCTACAACAGGCAGTTGCTGTCCATTCCAGTGTACTCATCGTTAATGCTCTGCCTAAACAATTTATCAAAGAATGACAATAAATTATGTTCAAAATTTATAAATTAGAAAAAAATATTTTTTTGAAATTCTATTGATTCATGAAATGGATATTAAGTTACTTGAAATGTCTTTTTTGTTATATAGGGAAAATGCCTTAAAATAAAAATTTTCTACAATTTCTGACAATCCAAATATCAAAGGTACCTGGACATATTATTTCAGTATTACATCTCTTGAATTGTGTGCTGCTACCAGGACATGCTCCTCCTGCTCTTGGGAATGGATTATCACACTTACGAAACCTCACTTGTCGTCCTGACCCACAAGTAACACTACAAGTTGTCCAATTTGTCCAATTACTCCAATTACCAGCAACTTAAAAAAAAAAGCAAATTCTATTAAGCATTTAAAATATATAAGTTGGATAATGCAAAAAACATATATTGGTATATCATAGTACTAATTTTAGACATATTCATTTATCATTATACAACACTGAATGTTTAGTCTTCAATAAGTCTTTAAATCACACACATTAATATTAAAGGGAACATCACAAATTAAATAAGTACATTTTCAAACATTCTTTAATATGTAGTTCTAATACATTCCATTTCATCATAACTTTATATTGGCTGTGGTTTTAAAATCCTTTTAATATAACTTACTTAACTTACTTGTATATATTTATTTATACTATACATATAAAAATACAACATATTTAAAATAAAAGAACAAGGCAGAAAAGCAGTCACATGCAACAAAAACATCTGAGGAAAGATGACAGAATCTATTAACTCTCAATAACTCTACCAAAAGTACTGGAACGGTACATTCCCAGCTTCGAATAAGACATTCCTCAGCCAGTCATAGTTAAGATACCATAAGAAAAGTAGCTCAAAGACCTTCAAAAAGAAATTGTTTGTTTGTTTGTAATGGATTTTGTGCAAAGCTACATGAGAGCTATCTGTGCTAGCCATCCATAATTTAGCAGTGTAGGACTAGAGGGAAGGCAGCTAGTCATCACCACCCACCACCAACTCTTGGGCTACTCTTTTACCAACGAATAGTGGGATTGATCATCACTGTATAATGCCCCCATGGCTGAAAGGGCAAGCATGTTTGGTGTAATGGGGATTCGAACCCACGACCCACAGATTGCGAGTCGAGCGCCCTAACCACCTGGCCATGCCGGGCCTCAAAAAGAAATAATTAATACACAGAGCAGTTGTTGAATGACAGTCTGACACATTAAAGCCTGTCTACTCATATCCAAATTTACCAAGGGTAACATGCTGATGAGATGGGAGTCATTCAATATATTAGTATGGAATATCTTTCCAAAGTGGTAAAAGATATTTCCTCTTCAGTTCTTGTGTTTTTGAAATAAAATCATGCACATGGCACTATATCAATTTTAACCCATTCACTGCAGCTGGGACATATATTATCTAGTGCACTAGGAAGTATACATCCCAGCTGCAGTGAAAATAGTAATGAGAGTTCATGATTGCAGGGTCAGTACATTTACATTGTGCATGAAGCACCATTTTGCAGGATTTCACAGATGGGCTGCTCATTATAAAAATAAATATACAGTACCAGTACATATCATCTTGAATGTCAAAGCTTAAACAAAGAGCAATAGAAAATCACTATGTGAAGCAATGAATCATACTGCTCATTGTTTGCTTCAGATAGGGATATTATTATAGTGTGGTCCTGTTTTCACTTCATCCAACTGGGCACATTCAGCAGAGCATTTATGAAACTAATCACTACAGTCTGCCTTGGCTAGCTCAGAGCCAAATCTGAATTCAATTAAATTGGAATGTGGTGGAATGTCACATCAGATGCAGATTCCAGAATCTAATTTTGCTACTGGAATGATAATGTGTACCAGCAGACTGATGAAAAGTTCTGGAAACAGCATCAAGCTGTGATTAAGACCCAAAGATGACTTACTATCACTTAAAATGGCATAATAACCCTTTCTCAAGGTATATTTCACACTTGGTATTTTTAGTACTGATATCATATTTTTCTTAGCATGCATTGTTTAAACCTCAACTCAACTTTGTGCACAAAAGCACAAAACCATTTACAGAATATCCAAAATTTTTAATATTACAGCTATGACTAGACAAGACCACTGTAATAAAATAATATGAATAATGTGATTGGACATTCACTATTCTTTTACTTATCAGTTTAAAATGAATCATAGAGTCTAGTGTTCTCTTAAAATGTTAATGAATCATGGTTAGACTTCAAAGAATACATGTGGATATTCCACTTATACAAACATTCACTGGACAAACAGAAGATAGTCAATCACAGCAAATTATTGTTAATTAATTTCAAGTGTCTCAGAGTGTTGTTGTTTGTGTACCTGAACAAAATAAACTAAAATCTATGGTGGTGTAATACTAGGCCTAAACGTTTGGGGTCACTGTGATCACCCCCTACTACAATAAATTAATCATTAACTTGATTACCTAATAAGTTTGGACAACTATTGCTGTAGATGTATCACTGTAAGCAGCAGTATATGCTAATGAGAAAATATAATTTTATATAAAGCATCCTATAACAGAGATATGATTATAATCCCATCAATACATTTGAATGTATAAGAAAGCAATATAGAAAACTTTTAAGCATGGGAGAGACACACCCACTGCACACTTCTTTGCAACCCTTTAGGATTACACCACTGATAATCCATAGCTCACTGATAAATGCTTTTTGCCAATTCTAGCTGTATTCATGAGGCGCCTGCTCTGAGACTGAATCAGATATTTCCAGCTGCAACTGGATGCTTACAGCAAGGCACAAAACAATTCACCTGCAATTGTGCCAATAATATGTCCAGTAGACCACAAATATGTTAAAAAATATCCTCATTACAGATGATTCACAGTTCACTCCACTACAACAGGCATATACTCATGTGGTGAAAATCTAAACTCAGACTAAACCTCATGATTATGGAGAAGCAAGGTACATATATGACAGTAATGGAAGTTTTGTATATACTTGTGGATGTATAATTGTATACACCTCTACAATCTATAGAATAGTACAATTTATGCCCCACAATTATAAGGAAAATATTCTTTGGAGATATTTTCTATGAGATGCTTCTGTCACCTAGTAAGAATTTAAAACTTATAGCCAAACTGATTTGAGGGTGAGTTCACCAAGAATGCTATTTTGTACTTCAGCATAATTTCCAGAGCTTCACACTCTTATCACTTGATTAAACAATGACCAGGCCCATCCAGAACCACCAAGTTTGAAGACAGTGGTAAAATGTTGTTGTGAAAAAGTAAATGTCTAAGGTTATGCTGATAATTCCTATGGCAATCTGTACAACAAGCAAAAAAGTCAGTATTCAGCACTGCTAAAGCTTTATACTGGATGGGCCATTTCACCTTGGTAGAGGCTGGAGATGAATCATGAGTGAATAATGTATACCAACCCAATGCAATTTACCTCTGGCAGTGTAACTAATCAAAATGTACCCTGGATAAACCAAAAACTTTCATGAGATGAGCAAAGAAGTACTGATGTTATGTAGCAAAAGCCTCCTCATGTTCAAGCAGCCTCAGGCAGTGTCTTGCTATAATTTTTCTGTCACATGTTATAAATATGTGCAGATACAGAATGCAAGGATGAAAGTGGGATAAGTGAGAGATAAATAGTTGGATCTAGACTGGATGATTGGCAGGTTAGCTGTGATGGGTGATTTCTAAAAAAGTTAAAGTAAGTTAGTGAAAGTGAAGTTAGACTGTGTGATTGTTAGTTTAGCCATAATAGGCAATATCTAAAGTGAGTTTCACAGTGGTATTGTAACAACAGAGATAAAGAAGAATAAGTTGGCTTGTCAAAGGGTGTTCTCAAGTAACTGAACTCACCTGTGTGGACTTTGATGAAAAGGAGAGAATTATTTATAGCTCTGGATACAACTGTGATAACCAATAGTGTAACAGTTTTGAATGTATGTTTGATTTGTTTTGAACATATTATTTTAAAATAAATATATTATGTGCTGTCCCTTTATTGTTGACATTTATTGCCAACAAGTCACAAACACCTACTGTAAAAAATCTGGCCCCTATGCAAAACCTTGACATTTGGCAAGCCAGCCACGATTATATAGTGGTAAATGACAGTAGAAGAAGAGGGGAATGACAAGAAGTAGGCCTATATATGCACAATTGCATTGGTGGAGAAAATAGTGTAGCGATTAAAATCACGCTATATAACCATGTCAACTGATTTTGATAAGTGGATCGAAAGAGGTGAGCATCTTGGGATTGAAGATAACTAACAACAAGAGTTTGTTAAACAACAACAAGACCTGGAGATAAAAGAACATTGGCAAAGAAGAGAGGAAGAAAGAAAAAAACTGAAAGAAGAAAATGAGAGAAAAGAGAGAGAGAGGAAATATAGAGAGAAAGAATATGAGCACAAACTTAGAAAAAAGAAAAGGAGAGAGGGGGAGACTGGAAATAGAGACAATAAAAACATAAATTGATATTGCCAAGCTCACCCAACAGAAAGAGGAAGGACCCAAAATGACAATGGGGCCATGGGTCAGCCAACCTAAGCTGCCCAAATTTGATGAACCAAAATATGACATGGATGCTTTCCTGGAGAGATATTAAAGATTTGCCCAAAGTCAGAACTGGGACAAAGGTGACTGGGCAGTATTTCTCAACCCACTTCTCACAGGAAAAGGCCTATAAGTATATGCAGGCATGATAACAGATGATGCCATGGACTATGACAAGTTAAAAGTGATCACATGCTCAACAGTCATGTCACTGTTCCTAAAGGAGAGAGCACCAAAACACGTAGATGAGATAACCAAATTGGCAGAACAGTACATGGAAGCCCTTGGAGGGAGCATAACTGACAAGTCTTAAAAAATACCAGTTAAAGTTGAAATGAGGGGTGGCTGACCAGAAACAGGATGCCACCACAATTGACAACAAGCCAACAGACAAATAGGAGAAAAGATGCTATGCTTATTGTAAAATGGAGCACATTATGAGTGAGTGCAAGTCTGTCACCAACAAGCAACAGCAGAAATCTCAACATAAAGAAGCTGGAGCTACCTACAAAGATGGTGCTGGTAAGAAACAAGAAAAGAGTGACTATCACCATGAATTCTGCTGCTAGAAAATACAGAATGAAGACAACATGTCAGATTCTTCACAAGAAAAAGAGTGCCATCTCCATGATGAAAAAGTGCATGACTGATGATCAGTTCAAATTAGCAAATGGAGAAACAGTGCCTGTAGTGATTGGAGCATATGACAAATATCAAGAGGCGCCAACAAATCACAACATGTCATTAGATGAAG